GAACGTGTGTGGGTCTGTCTGGGAATGGGGGTCTGTTAGAATATCCCTAAGTGGACCTTTATGAATATCTGTGCACATCCTCTATTCAAAAGTTCAAGACTGACTACATACACTCTCAATAAAGGTTTCCAAATATTTATGCAAATAGTTGCTTTCTTTTCTTTTCTTTTTGGTTTTTTTGAGACAGGGTTTCTCTATGGTTGTCCTAGAACTCACTCTCATAGACCAGGCTGGTCTCAAACTCACAGAGATCTGCCTGTCTCTGCCTCCCCAGTGCTGGGATTAAAGGTGTGGGACATCACTGTCTAATTACATCTTCTATGTTCTAACCATCTCAATTCTAAATTCCATGAAAATGGAAAGACTTTCTCATATCACCAATGTGCTCAATTATTATTAGTTTATGTAAAAAATTAAATTAATTCTGATTTTGGTTTTATAGAAATTTTCGGAGAGTTCTTATTTGTTTAAAATAAAGTGTGTGTGTGTGTGTGTGTGTATCTGTGTGAGAGTGTGCTGTATATGTGAGGTACTCTTGGAGGCCAGAAGGGGGTGTCAGATCCCCTGGAGCCGTAGTTTCAGGCAGTTGTGAGCTGCCAGATGTGGGTTCTGGGAGCTGAACTCAGGTCACGTCCTCTGAAAGAGCAGCAAATGCTGTTAACTGCTGAGAACATTTTAGGGCTGGGTGTGTTGGTGTCTAACTGTAATCCCAGCATTTAAGAGGCAGAGACCGGAGGACTCTGAGTCTGGAGTCAGCCTGGGCCAGTCTGAGTTGAGGCCAGACCTGTCTCAAAATACTGAGTGCTGAGGACATAAGCCCGAAGGTGAGTTCTGACCTTATTTGATCCCCCGGACTGGAAACAAATAAAGAAGCAAGCAAGCAGAAAAAAAAAAAAAGAGAAAGAAAAAGAAAGAAAAGAAAAATCAACCAAGCAAGCAAGAGAAAAGCATTTACACAAGTGGAAAGGTATAAAAAGGGGTAGAGTCGAGACACTGGGGTATAACACTGTATGTTGAAGGCTGGAGAGAATGTTTGGAGATGAAGGCACTATGGCTCTTGCTGAAGATTCTCAGCACCCATGTCAGGTAGCTCATAACCACAAGTGACTCCAGTGACTCCAGTCTCCAGGGAACCAACACTCTCTTTTTGCCTCCAGAGCCACCCACGTACATGTCACACACACACACACACACACACACACACACACACACACACACACACACACGCACGCACGCACGCACGCAGGGGCTTAGAGATTACTCAGTGATTAAGAGTACAAGCTACTCTTCCAGAGGACCTGAGTTCAATTCCTAACACAACCACTGTGACTCCAATTTCTCCGGCTTCCTCAGACACCTATACAAACATGGTGCACATTACAGAGAAGCAGACATTCATATAAAATAAAATAAGTCTTAACACGCACACAAAGATAAAATCTCAAAACATATTATGTGGTGTCTTCCATATATGGCTGTTTGTTGTGGATGAATTACAGAAGGAGCAGGGGTGTCAGGCCCAATCACAGAGGGCTTGGAATCTGAAAATGACGACCATGACCCTGCTCAAATATATGCTTTTAAAGTAAATTCTAATGCCAGTATAGAGGAAGGGCAGGCATGTAGAGAATGAAAGTAGGCCAGCCAAGACACAGCTGCCATCACAGATGCAGACAATGAAGGCAGAGATCACCTTTACAGTAATGACACAGGAGACGCTGGGAAGAACTTTCTTTTACAAAACATAACGTCCAGAGAAACACAAAGTCATTCAGGAAGCTGGCTGATCCCATTTCATCCAGCACACACGGAACAGAGAGAGAACGGGAAGCAGGACAAGGCCATAAATTCCTAAATATCACCTCCGGTGACATACTCCCCCCTGCAAAGCTCTGTTTCCTAAAGGTCCCGCACTTTCCCAAACAGCACCACCAACTCCAGACCAAGTGTTCAGATATCTTAGTCCGTCTTGTTCAAATCACGACAGGATGTACATTTTTTTTTCAGAGAACCTCACCCTAAATGCAATTAGCACAAGATGAGCCCGGATAAAGCCTTCTTAAACATAGGAACACACACAAAGCACCTCATCAAGGCTGATGTGAAGATCTGTTGGACTGTCAGTGTGGCTGGGTCTGGAATCAACCTAGAGACACGCCTCCGGGAGGGTCTGGGAGGTATTTCCAGGAAGGGTTACGTGAAGGAAGAAGACTCCCTTGCAGATGGACAGCACCTTCTGGGGGAATGGTCCCAGGTGCTGCAGAGCGGTCTGGAGAGGACCACAGGTCTGCTTGCCTTCATGGCCTCCTTGTTGGCGAGTGGGACCAGCTCTGCAGCAGCTGTCACTCACTCTTCTTTGACGTTAAACCCTTCCCTCCCCAGTTCGCTCTCGGCCACGGTGTTTTGTTATGGTGGACTGAAGGAGAATGGCCCGCATAGGCTCATTGGTTTCAATGGCTAGCCCCCAGTTGGTGACCTGTTTAAGGATTAGGAGGTGTGG